CGTGCTGCAACACCGATTGTAGAGCCTCAGATCTAATAGGAGGAGGAGATCCCTATTCAGACTGCGCCAGTTGGACCAGCTCAGGTCCTAGAGGGGTTCACTGCCACCCTCGTACTTCAGGATGCTCTAGTCCATCTAGTGGGCCTTATGGAGAGTGTGGCCTAGTCCAATGTTCTCCCTATGAAACCAATTGTCTCAAAGGTCGGGGGAGGAGACTGGCTCCAGCTACCCACACACCCAACTGAAAGAGCACTTTAGCCTATTATTGCTACGCAACCTAGGGAGGGACCCGATATGTTGTCTGAGGGGATGAAGAGGTTGGATAAGTTCACCAAGCTATTTCGTATTCGCTTTAGTGTTACACATTCTGAGGACCCTCAAGATTGCTTAGACTGTTGACCTGAGGTATTGCACAACATGGGTATAGTGTAGTCCAATGGAGTCAACTTCATAGTATTTCGGATGCATGGCTCTGCCAAGAAGTTGTGGTAGGAGTATGTTTGGGTAGACCAACAGGTTCACCTCCGCTCACTTGGGATCGGTTCTCACATCTTTTCTTGGAGAAGTTCATCCCTTTTACTCTGAGAGAGGACTAATGCTGCCAGTTTTAGGGCCTTCAGCAAGGTAGCATGATTGTTACCCAATGTGAGACCAGATTCATGGATTTTTCTCACCATGCAGTGGTCTTGCTCCTTACTAAGAGGGAGAGGGTGAGGATATTCATATATGGCCTTACTTATGGTATCAGGCTACAAATGGTTAGAGAAATTGAGGTTGATATTCGGGTTGTAGTGATTGTTAGGCGGATCAAGAGGGGTCGAGAGGCGACATCGGAGAACAAGCCTCGTCATTTTGGTGGGTTCAGTAGTGCCTCATCTGGAGAAAGAGGTTCATTTGTTAGAGGCCATCCCAGCAGGTCGATTCAGTCATCTCTTTAAGTATCACACGGTGCTTCGGGTAGTCGTGGTTCTTATGGGTCTTGACCTGATCAGCTAGCATACATCGCACCTCAAGCTCCGGTTAGTGCACCGCCGATTCAGAGTTATCAGGGTAGTTATTCAGGTCGACAAGATCAGTTCCAGGGTCAGCAGTCGAGGAATTGTTATACTTGTGGAGATTCAAGGCACATCGGGAGGTTTTGCCCCAAGTCACAGAGCAACATACCATAGCAAGGTACTCATGCTATGGAGGCCATCCACGTAGAGGCCGTCAAAGAGGTGGAGGATAGACTGGTGGGGCTCAGCTCCGTTTCTATGCATTCCCAGCTAGACCTAAGGCAGAGGCATCTGATGCAGTCGCCACAAGTATTATTCCGGTTTGCCATATAGATGCCTCAGTTTTATTTGTTCTGGGTTCCACTTATCTGTATGTGTCATCCTATTTTTCTCAATATTTTGTTATGTCTCATGATTCTTTTAGTGCTCCTGTTTATGTGTCTACGCCTGTTTGGGATTCTATTATGGTAGAACATGTCTATTGATCGTGTGTGATCTCTATCGGGAGTTATGAGAATAGCGTAGACTTTATTTTGCTCAGCATGGTAGACTTTGATGTTATTTTGCGCACCGACTAGTTGTTACCATATCACGATATTATGGATTGTCATGCTAAGACCGTCACATTGGCGATGCCGAGATTGCCGAGATTGGAGTGGAGAGGTTTCTTGGGTTATGTTCCCAACAGGGTGATGTCTTTTCTGAAGGCACAATAGATGGTTGAGAAGGGGTTATTGGAATACTTAGCCTATGTGAGGGATGTTAGTGATGATACTTCTACCGTTGAGTTAGTTCCGATAGTGAGAGGCTTCCCAGATGTGTTCCCAGCAGACCTACTGGGCATCACGCACAATAGGGATATCGATTTTGGTAATAAGTTGGTGTTGGGCACTCAGCGCATCTCTATTCCACCATATCACATGGCACCAGTGGAGTTAAAGGAACTAAAGGAACAACTTCAGGAGTTTCTTTATAAGGGCTTTATCAGACAGAGTGTTTCACTACGTGGTGCTCCAGTCCTATTTGTGAAGAAAAAAGATGATACTATGAGGATGTGTATTGCCTACAGACAGGTGAACAAAGTTACAGTCAACAACAATTACCCACTACCGCGTATTGATAATTTGTTTTATCATCTCCATAGTGCCAAGGTATTCTTGAAGATTGACCTGAGATTGGGGTACCATAATTAAACGATCCGGGCTTCAGACATTCCGTAGACGGCTTCAGGACTTTCTATGGTCTTTACGAGTTTCGGGTGATATCTTTTGGACTAACCAATGCCCCAGAAGCCTTTTAGCACTTGTTGACCAACGTGTTCCACCATATCTTGATTCCTTTGTCATCGTGTTCATTGATGACATATTGGTGTATTCTCGCAGCCGGGAGGATCATGAGCAGCACTTGAGGATCGTACTCCAGACTTTGTGGGAGAAGTGAGGTTTTGGTTGATTTAGTGGCTTTCTTGGGCCATGTGGTATCTGGTGAGGGCATTAAGGTGGATTCGAAGAAGATTGAAGTAGTTTAGAACTGGCCTAGACTTGAATCAACTACAGAGATTCGGAGCTTCTTAGGTTTCTTGGAGGGTTTTTCATCCATCGCAGCTCCTTTTACTAGATTGACCCAGAAGGGTGCTCCTTTCAGAAGGGCCGACAAGTGTGAGGCGAGCTTTCATAAGCTCAAGACTGCATGACTACAGCTCCATTGTTGGTATTGCCTATAGGTTCTGGATGCTACACCGTGTATTGTCACTACTAGAAAATGAGCCTATTGCAACAATATTTTTTTAAACGATTATAAAACCGTTGCTATAAAACAGATATACCAACGGTTATAGAACCGTTGCTATATTACAAATATAGCAACGGTTATAAGCGTTCCAACAGAATTTGGATGATATTAGCACACTTTTGATATCAAACTGTTACCATTGCAATTAAACCGTTGCCATAGCACTTTTTTAACCAACAGTTTTCTAAACCGTCCCCATAGTAATATTTATGGGAACGGAGTTTTGGGAAAAACTGGTACTAGAACGGTTCTTTTTCTCCTCATCAGATTCCCCCCTAAATTTTGCTAAACCCGCCAAACAAAAATAATTCCTATTTTTTTAATTAATTTGAAAAATATAAATATAAAACTCTATAATTTATATTGTATATCCAGGCGAGTCGATATCCCCAAAGTCCCAAACCCCTAAAGCGCCTCTGACGAAATCTCCAAAGCCCCATTATGTTCTCCTACCAAAAACGCAATTCTCCACCATATTTCAGCCATAACACTTCCACCAAACCCCCATGTAAAAGACCACCTTCTTCCCATATTAAACCAGCATCGATTACTCGAAGCAAACCTATCTCTCAATCTCTCTCTCTCAGAGAAAAAGAAATTGTGCAGAAACCTTTTTGACGATATCCGACTGCTCGAAGGATAAATTGCAAAAAATATGTGGCGTCTAAAACTCCAAGGAAAGAAAGAAACTAACCTCATTCCAAGAGTTAGGATTTGAGCGGATGAAATCACTTAACATTGGTACTTTCTTTCTCTTAGGTTTTTTCGCCTACTTTGAATGTGCTCTCTTTAATTTTTGTCAAATAAGGGTACAAAGGGGCCATCACTATATTGTCTAAATCTCAAAACCTGGGTTTTTCTATATTCAGTTAATCTCCTCCATTTTACTAATTTTGTTGCTTCTTTATTTCACTATTTCTTCCTAGTAATATTCCATATTTGTTTTTTCCCTTTTTGGATTTGTGGTCCTTTTTTTAATTTCATCGATCTGTATTGATTTCATGTGTAGATTTCATGGGGATTATTGTTTTGTCTAAGGAATACATGTAAATTTATTTAATTTTGGTGATTTTGGGTACGTATTTTGGGGCATCTTTATTAGTTTTCTTTTACGCCTCATTTTTTGATTTGTTGAATGGTTTATCACTTTATCTTTAAATTTATGAATAGAGAAGGGTTTTGTTTTTATGTATAGGGTTGGGAATGAGGCCATGCGAGTTTGCGATTTGAAACTATGTAGCTTTTGAGTAGAATCTTGATTGCCATTGTTTGACATGCTAATGTGGATTATTTTGCATTCTTTTACTTTTTTCTTGTATTTATTTCTATAGTTTTTGCTTGTGTTTAATTCTTATTCCATTCACTTTAATTTAGTAGAAATGATTTGGGTTTTATTTATTGACAGTAGGGAGGCTTAATTTATTAGTTTGTTTTGCTGCAACAGTCTTATCCTTATGTGCTTTGGCTACAAAAATTTGATCTTTTGCTATATCTTTACTGATTATAGCTAGCGATTTTAACTATTTTTTAGTTTCCTTTGCTTGAATGTACAGGTGATATTTGATTTATATTGGATTCGCTTTTTCTTTGTTAAAGATCAAATCTTTTGTTCAGCTTGAATATTAATGAACCTTGTGTAGAAATCAAAGTTTGAACTTGTAACGACCCAATCGGTCGTTTTGAGCATTTGCACTTCGCACGGTAGTTTACAGGCGTGAGTAGATCCGTATGATATATTTTGATTTGTGTGAATCGCTGGATTTGGTTTTTAGGTTATTCAGGACTGATTTGGAAGAATTATTCTCAACTAGGGACCTTTAAATTTGAAAGAGTTGATCAAGTTTGACTTTATAGCATTTGACCTCGGATCAGAATTTGATGGTTCCGTTAGCTCTGTTGGGTGATTTTGGACAAAGGAGCGCGTCCGGATTGTGATTTGGAGGTCCATGGTTGAATTTGGCTCGAAATGGCGAAAGTTAAAATTTTGGAAAGTTTGACCGGGAGTGAACTTTTTGATATCGGGGTTGGATTTCGATTCTGGAAGTTGGAGCAGGTCCGTAATGTTGAATGTGACTTGTGTTCAAAATTTGAGGTCAATCGGACGTGATTTGATAGGTTTCGGCATCGGTTGTGGAAATTTAAAGTTTCAAAGTTCATTGATTTCGGGTTGAGGTGTGATTCGTCGTTTTGATATTGTTATGTGTGATTTGAGGCCTCGAGTAAGTCTGTGTTATGTTATTGGACTTGTTGATATATTATGACGGGGTCCCGAGTGGCTCAGATGAGTTTCAAATCACTTTCGTTGCATAGTGCATTGCTAAAGGCTGTTGGTTCTGGTGTGATAGCACATGCGGCTGGAATTGCGCAGGTACGATGGTCGCAGAAGCGACAAAGGAGTCGTAGATGCAGTGCGAGAGGCGTGGGAACGAATTTAAGCGTAGGAGCACAAATTGGACTCGCACCTGCGTGTGCACAACAGTGGAGTTTTTACCGCAGGTGCGAAGGCAGACCTCCAGTGCTTCCTCGCAGAAGCGTGTTTTGGTTGCAAATGCGACGCCGCAGAAGCGGCTGATGTGCCACATGTGCGAAAGTGCTGGGCAGAATGATAAATACAAGGGTTCGCGATTTTGGCTTCATTTTTACACTTCCAAGCTCGGATTGATGCGATTCTTGGCGCAATTTTCATCTTGTGGACTGGGGTAAGTTTTCTTTACTCGATTTTGGTTATATTTCCTTAATCTATCTTCATTTTTGGTAATTTGATTGTGAATTTTAAAGAGAAAATTGGAAGTTTGGCCTAAATTTTCATAATGTGAAGTTTTGAGTTTTGAACATCGAATTGGAGTCAGATTTGAGTGAAACTAGTATGGTTGTACTCGTAATTTAATATGTTATTGGGTTTTGTAAATTTTGTCAGGTTCTGAGGTGCGGGCCGGGGTTTGGCTTTTTGCCGGTTTTGGACTTTTGATTCAATATTTGATCTTTTTCGATCGGGATTAGTTCATTTAGCATTGTTTGATGTACTTAAGTTGTTTTTGGTTAGTTCTGGGCCGTTCGGAGGTCGTAACGTGCGGGATGGCATCTTTGGAGTATCGTTTGACTTGCTTGACATTGGTATTGGCTTGTTCGAGGTAAGTAACTCTTCTAATTTTGGAGCTGAAGGTATAAAACCCCGAATTATGTGTTATGTGATTAGTATTGAGGTGACGCACATGCTACGTGATGGGCGTGTGGGTGTGCACCCTGTGAATTGTGTCTCCACTATTTTCATGGCATTATATAGTGGGCCTATTTTGTTGATATTTGTGTTATCACCATGTGTTAAGGTAACTGAGCTGTCAATCATGCTAAATATCATGTTTAGGATTTATGCTGATACTGTTAGGACCATAGTGGTCGTGTCATGTTGTCATCTCACTGATTTTATTGATATATCGTACTCAGTCATATTCATGCATTCATATCATATCTCAGCTTCAGTTATTGTTTATTGATACATCATGTCATTGTTGTCGGGCTAGTTTCATGACATTGTGAGCCCGTGAGTGAGACTGGAGAGATTGATGACTGAGTGAGGCCAGGGGCCTGTTTGTGAGGGTGTTGATACAATAACATGTGAGTTGTCCATGCAGCACGTGAGTTGTCCGTGCGGATCCAGATATTGATACTATAGCACGTGAGTTGTCCGTACAACACGTGAGTTTTCCGTGCGGATCCAGATATTGATATTATAGCACGTGAGTTGTCCATGCAGCACGTGAGTTGTCCGTGCGGATCTAGATATTGATATTATGGCACGTGAGTTGTCCGTGCAAATTATAGCTCTTGAGTTCTAGGAGCCCCTCCGGAGTCTGCACACCCCAGTGAGCGCAGTCGACTATAAATATGTGGATCAGGTTGCACGCCGCATCGGGTATTGTACAGCGCTGAGTGATTGAGTATGCTGAGCATTGAGCATAGTGAGAGAGGATGCGAGACAGTGAGATTGAGTACTATGAGAGATTATACGAGCTCATCTTCGAGATGTATTGCATTTGATATGCGTACTTGAGATACATGCATAGAGATGCATTTCCTTCTGCGACCTAGTTTTGTGACATTTATGATTTTACCTGTATCTTGACAAGTAGGCATAGAGATGTAATTTATTCATACTATCTGAAAAATGAAACATCTTACTTATTGTTGAAAGGATATTTGGGAAAAATCACTGTTTTTAAACTTACTCGTATTTGGCTTTCACTAAAAGATTTGGGTTTTCACTGAGATACTTGAAAAGAACTACCTATTTTTATGGAACTGTGAACGAGCTAGGCATTTTATTTCTGAGATAACTCTTTTGTTACTTGTACTATGTTGTTATGAACTGTTGTGGAATATTGGTGTTGAACCCGACCTTTGTGTTAGCTCGTCACTACTTTCAACCTAAGGTTAGGTTTGTTACGTATTATGTACATGGGGTCGGTTGTACTTATACTACACTTCTGTACCTTGCATGCAGATACTGACTGCTAATGTTTCTATGTTCGATGGGAGATGGATTTGAAGATGTATCTACGTCTTAGTTGTAGCTGTCTCTTGTTCATGGTAGCCTTAGATCTATAAAACTCTGTTAATGTCTTTTTCAAACAGACAATGTATTTACTTCATTTTCGCTTTGTAAACTCTATTCTTAAAAGCTCATGATTCGTACTACCAGTCCTTGGAGAATGTATAAGATTCAGATATTTCTTTACTTAATCGCTTTACTAATTGTTATTGGAATTGGTTAGTAGTTAATTGGCTTACCTAGCGGGTTGGGTTAGGTGCCATCACGACTAATGGATTTGGGGTCGTGACAGGTGGTATCAGAGCTCTAGGTTCATAGGTTC